AGCGAGTCTGTAACCTGAAGCGTATGTAACCTGAAGCGTATGTAACCCAAGGTACCTCTGTACTGATTTATGTTACACCATGTAGACAAGATGATCTCTTCCCTAAAGGGAACACAAAAAAGGAATTCAAAGTACCTCCTTGCACGAATGCCATCACATTTGATGTGGCATCCATCTGCCCCGAGAGACAATGGAGGGGGTGAGGTCAAACGACTGCATTAGCAGCACTGAAGTGACCTCCCTGGGGTGCAAGCCTAGGCAGTGTGTATGGAGGCCCTGGGCTGCCCAGGCAATGACCTTCCTACTAGCCTTGCTGATGTGGTCCAAAGGAAAGCACCAGCTTGGCTGCAGGTGTTGCCGGAAAGAAGCATACAAGACACCATCCAACCTTCTTAGGGACTCCACTAGATTTGGGTAGGGTTTACTCCTTAGAATTTTTCTAAACCCAAAGGTATCACACAAGACAGCGGAGGTTTAGGATCAGAGTTTTCCTTCTCCTAGATGGGCTACCTTCTCAGGTGGACAAGCCTCATATGCCCCCACTTCCCTTGGGGTGTATGGGGTATAAGGGGAAGGGTAGTACCTCTAGTGGGGGGACCACATCGTTCTCCTTCTGGGGTAGCTTTGGTCCCTACCCTGCACTCAGCTCTCACCTGTGGCTCCTACAAGCTGCTAACATGCGACAGCAGCCACACCCCTGAAGTGGCTTCGACTGGCCACCTAAACCAGATGAGGGAAGCTGATGGGTCTCAAACCCTAGGTGAGTTAGGAATTCCCCCTACATGAGAAGACAGGCTCCGGCAGATTGTGTAGATGAGACCAATAGTGGGTCCATCAGACAAGAAGGCAGTTTCTGCACCATCACTATTCTCACGAATTAAAATGTACATCAATATTAAAAATGTTGTGTGATGTGAAAAATTAGAAACATCTGTATTAAGCCAACCTGTGTAAAATCCTTCTTTTCCATGGTCCAAAGCTCCCTTAAACCAATTTCTCCCTCCTGTATGAAACAAAAATATTTTATTAGAGGAAACACTGTAAATCAGAATGTAATAATCCACCCTCCCATATGCCTTCACCCAGGTAAATAAACCCAACAAAATATCAAAACCTTTTAAGGATATTTACAGTGGATAAAACATAAAGCACAAATCTAGGTTAATATTCTGCACAATCCTACAACGTATCTTTTCAGTCATAAGTTCAATGTGCCTCAAGTGGGTGTAGTAAAGGTAAAAGTAAAGGTACCCCTGCCCGTACGGGCCAGTCTTGCCAGACTCTAGGGTTGTGCGCCCATCTCACTCAAGAAGCCGGGGGCCAGCGCTGTCCGGAGACACTTCCGGGTCACGTGGCCAGCGTGACAAAGCTGCATCTGGCGAGCCAGCACCAGCGCAGCACACGGAAACGCCGTTTACCTTCCCGCCAGTAAGCGGTCCCTATTTATCTACTTGCACCCGGGGGTGCTTTGGAACTGCTAGGTTGGCAGGCGCTGGGACCGAGCAACGGGAGCGCACCCCGCCGCGGGGATTCGAACCGCCGACCTTTCGATCGGCAAGCCCTAGGCGCTGAGGCTTTTACCCACAGCGCCACCCGCCCCAAGTGGGTGTAGTACTGAAGCCTAAATGCACATTCTCCAAAATAGGACAAAAGAGAGGAAGACTTTTTTGGCTATTTCTTCCTCCCCTTGCAACCTCTCACTCTCCCCCACCCCAAACCTGCTCTGAAGAGGGAGCAAGTGGGTGGGGAAAATAGCCAAAAATTGCCTCCTTTTTCATTCTGTTGACTGGTACCTTCTGTCAGGGAGACACAACCCAACTGGACACCACCCCATATCTCATAGGTTTAATAAAATGCAAGAAACTACCCTGAGTAGAAGTAGGAAGAATGAGAGCTAAAGTTGACGTGACTGCTTTGGACAAGCAGGAGCAAAAAACTAATTGCCCATTTTCCTTGCTCCTGCCTCACAATCAAACTGGAGTCAGTACCCAATCCAGTGGCCCCGTGACGCCATTAGATCCAAGGCCATTATCCATATATGTTTTCACAGCTTTCAAAGCTTACCTTCAGGACCTCTGTTAAATGTTCAAGCTCAAGACCTTGTAAAAACACCTCCAGGTCACCAAAGGCTGAATAAGAACTATAAATATATTGGTTGATTATTATAAAAGTATAAATAACTGGAGCAAATCTAAGAAATAAAATGACACATATTCTGTTGCTGCCTTTCAAATATTGATTAAAAATATTAAATTCAGTTCCAGTATAATAATGCAGAGGCAAAAAAACCCCTTTGCGCATCCTTCATGCAATGGGTCTTGTTAATTGCACCAGAAGTTTTAAAAGGCAAATACATGTTATTATTTATATTTCTGCTAAAAAAATTAAAATATTTTCCTGATCAGCTGGTTTTTATAGCTGCTTAGAGGCAAAGGAATGAGTGAACTCTAAGTCCAATACACAAATACCTTACTGTATCCTACAGATAAAAAAGTTCAACTAGCAGAGCACTCTTGGGAAGGACAGCAGAAGAAACAAAATCCATGGTGGCAATCTATGCCCTGCCACTTCAAAGCAGCTAGGGTGGTTTCCCATCACCTACATTCTAATTTCCCGCCACATTTCCCTCCCAATTGACAACAGCTATGCAGTTTCCAATGATTTTTGTTCTTTTTGAGAGGGGAAGGTGTTGGGGTGTTGGGGGAATGAAAGGGCCTTGGATCTTGTAGAGCCAAGCTTGCCCTTGAATCAATCATTCCTCTCCCCCTCCCCGCCCAAGACACCCATCCCACCAACAGTGTACATCTATGACCCTGAAACATTTTATGGGCATACAAATGGCTATGTAACTGCTGGAACTTCTCTCTAACAACAGAGCAGCTCTAACAGATTGGAGCTTGAATTTTAGTATCCGTTTAAAATGGAAGTTCTTTTAAAGGGAACTGAATTAAGTGTTTAAACAGTACAGTGCACTGTACTGTGTTTAAACTGTCCAATGGACAAAGTTTTCATTGCAGAATACTTTCAAAGTTAAATACATTAGTATTCACTATTTTTTACCTGGTTTTCTGGTTTTTAAATGTATTGGGAATGGCTTTCAGAAGTTTGTGAATAGCCTCTTCTTTGGTCAGGTTGTTGAATCTTTCTTGGAAAGGGTGTTTACTCAATGAAAGTAAGCTAAAAAGCTAAGAGAATAATTAAAAACAAATTGTTAATATTATATCAAGGGACAGATTGTTTTTCATGTTTACTAATAGGTCTAAACAAAACAAATAAATAAAATCCTTCCAGTAGCACCTTAGAGGCCAACTAAGTTAGTTACTGGTATGAGCTTTCGTGTGCATGCACACTTCTTCAGATACAAAAGCTCATGCCAATAACTAACTTAGTGTGTCTCTAAGGTGCTACTGGAAGGAATTTTTTTGTTTTACTTTATTTATTTTATTTTGTTTCGACTACAGCAGACCAACACGACTACCTACCTGTAACTACTACTAATAGGTCTGTTACACTGTTAAGTCCAACTGGAAATTCAGCTATAAAATAGTGAGAATATGAAGAAAATGTTCTACTCCGCTATCATGTTAGACTCCAGTGGTTCCCAATTAGGGGTCTGGGGACTCCTGGGGGTCCACAGAACGCACCTGGGGTCCACAGTCCCATCCCTTGCCTCCCCAACTAAATTTTTGTCATTTTTGCATGGTAATATCACAAATTTTATGGTGTCTTAGCGCTGTGCAATTTTTCAATATATTAGCCAAAATCAGTTTTGAAATTACACCGCAATGATGATTTTGACATGGCAATACACAGCAATGCATTGCTCCTCATGTGAAGGGAACAGGCAGCCAATTTCAAGCCACCGCTGATATCACACGATGATCTCCGTGATAATGCTGCTAATCTGAGCTGCCTTCCCTCATGCTGAGGGAAAACAGGGCGGCTAATTACAGTGGTGCCTCGCAAGACGAAATTAATTCGTTCCGCAAGTTTTTTCTTCTTGCGATTTTTCGTCTTGCGAAGCACGGTTTCCCATAGGAATGCATTGAAAATCAATTAATGCGTTCCTATGGAGACCGCCTTCAGACCAGGTCCAGGGACAGTCTGTCCCCAGACCTCTTCTGAAGGCTGGCGGGGGGAGAAGGACTTTTCTCCCACCGCCAGCCTTCAGAACAGCCTTCTGAAGGCTGGCGGTGGAGAAAAGCCCTTCTCCCGCCGCCAGCCTTCAGAAGAGTTCCCGGAGGGCTGCCTAGGCTGCGGATAGCAGCCTGCTGCCCGGTGCGAGGCAGAAATCTGCAGCTTGGGGAGCCCTGCAGGACTTCCCCGCAGGGCTCTCCAAGCTGCGGATAGCAGCCTGCCCCCGCACGAGGGGCGCTCTTAAGCAGAGCGCCCCTCGCGCGGGGCAGACACCTGCAGCTTTGGGAGCCCTGCAGGAGTTCCCCGCAGGGCTCTCCAAGCTGCGGATAGCAGCCTGCTGCCCCGCACGAGGGGCGCTCTTTAGCAGAGCGCCCTCGCGCGGGGCAGACATTCACAGCTTGGGGAGCCCTGCAGGAGTTCCCGCCCCGCAGGCTCTTCAAGCTGCGGATAGCAGCCTGCTGCCCCGCGTGAGGCGCGCTCTTAGCAGCGCCCTCGCGCGGGGCAGACATTCACAGCTTGGGGAGCCCTGCAGGACTTCCCCGCAGGGCTCTGCAAGCTGCGGATAGGGGTAGCAGGCTGCTATCCGCAAGCCGCGGATAGGGGCAGCAGGCTGCTATCGCAGCTTGGAGAGCCCTGCGGGGAAGTCCTGCAGGGCTCCCCAAGCTGCGAATGTCTGCCCCGCGCGAGGGCGCTCTGCTTAAGAGCGCCCCTGTGTGGGGCAGCAGGCTGCTATCCGCAGCTTGGAGAGCCCTGCGGGAACTCCTGCAGGGCTCCCCAAGCTGCATGTCTGCCCCGCGCGAGGGGCGCTCTGCTTAAGAGCGCCCCTCGTGCGGGGCAGCAGGCTGCTATCCGCAGCTTGGAGAGCCCTGCGGGGAAGTCCTGCAGGGCTCCCCAAGCTGCAGGTGTCTGCCCGCGCAAGGGGCGCTCTGCTTAAGAGCGCCCCTGCGGGGCAGCAGGCTGCTATCCGCAGCTTGGAGAGCCCTGCGGGGAACTCCTGCAGGGCTCCCCAAGCTGCGAATGTCTGCCCCCGCGAGGGGCGCTCTGCTTAAGAGCGCCCCTTGCGGGGCAGCATGCTGCTATCCGCAGCCTAGGCAGCCCTCCGGGAACTCTTCTGAAGGCTGGCGGGGGAGAAGGGCTTTTCTTCCCACCGCCAGCCTTCAGAACAGCCTTCTGAATGTTGGCGGTGGGGAGGAAAACCTTCCTCCCACCGCAAGTCTTCAAAACAGGTCCGGGAACAGAGGAGAAGCGCTGCGCGCCTTCCCCTCTGTTCCCGGACCTGTCCTGAAGGCTTGCGGTGGGAGGAGGGCTTTCCTCCCCACCGCCAACATTCAGAATGCTGTTCTGAATGTTGGCGGTGGGGAGGAAAAACCCTCCTCCCACCGCAAGCCCCGGGAACAGAGGAGAAGCGCTGCGCGCCTTCTCCTCTGTTCCCGGACCTCCCACCACAAGCCTTCAGGACAGGTCTGGGAACAGAGGAGAAGGTGCGCTGCGCTTCCCCGCTGTCCCAGGAGATTTCCCTATGGGCTTTCGTCTTGCGAAGCAAGCCCATAGGGAAATTCGTCTTGCGAAGCCTCTAAAAATCGGAAAACCCTTTCGTCTTGCGGGTTTTTTCGTTTAGCGAGGCATTCGTCTTGCGGGGTACCACTGTACAAGGAGCTGCCTTCCCATCACGGTGACAGAGAACAGGGCAGCTGATTGCCCTCACTTCAAGACCCCATGGCACTACGCTCCCCTAACACTGAGACAGAGCAACTCTTTTCAGCCAGCAGGGGACGTACATCTTTGTTGGCTGCCGCCACTGGCTGTCCTGCTGACAGTGGCTTGATGCACCCCCCCAACCCCTCCCACCCAAACCATGCAGTGGTGAGTCTGCTTCCTCCCATCCCTCACCCATCCTATCTCAGCGGCTGCTCTTTCCCTCATCCCCACACCTGATCTGCACACACCCCACCTGCCTGATCTCCGTGACTGCTTCTTCCCTCATCCCCATGCCTGATCTCCTTTTGCTTGCTCTTAAGTCTTTTTTACTGACAATGATGTGTGCTGTCCCTCAGCTGCCTTATTTTACTTTAAATGGAGAAAGTCACTTTTCTATCAAGTGTGTACAGTATGTTTTCAGTATTAATCCTTGTTCCTCTTTGTGTTGTGGCAGTTGACCCTAGTTTCTTTTTCCAAATTAGCACATCAGTAGAAATAAATTCAGATTGTCACAGGTAGAAATATTACTCAAGCATGAATCTGAATGAAGATATACAGCAATTTCATAAATTATTACTAAGTGGCAGAGCATGTTTAAAAAACAGAAGGCAGAAGAAATAGCAAGGTCTGTCTTACAGATGATGTTGCTGAAATGCAACTACATGCACTGTATGACTACTTGCGCCATACTAATATTAAATTAAAGGGGCATGGTTCAGACCTTGCCACTTTTATATAGGCTGAGTCCTTTAAAAGAGGCTCTGTGGATACAGAGTACACATGTTCCAAGGGGCCTCTTTTAAAAGACGCACCCTGTATTATACTGCATTGCAGAGGTCTGAGGTCCCTTCCAATTCTAACCATTCTATGAACCTAAAGAATCGAACCATCTTTTTAACAGAAAATCATAAGAGCGTTACATAGTAAGAGAGGCAAACAAGAGTGGCATGCTGACTGTGTGCCCGACAGAACACTGAAGGGAAGGGAGCTCAAGTCTCAAACATAAACTTCACTTTAAAATTTGCTGCATGTAACTGTCGTAACATTCTAGAGTGCAGTGCAGGAATGTTGAGTGTGAGGTGATGTGCACATATAACTGAGAAAAGGTTTGGAAAATAATCCCGTTTGCAGTAGATACAGAAGCATCAAGAAAAGGTGCAATTTTGGCAGTGTGGTGGTGATGAACATATTGAATCTGAACAGGTAGGAATTAATTCATTGCATATATGTCAGTGCATTTGTAGGGCCAATGTCACTCCTCCCTCTGCCCCGAAAAGGTAATCACAAGGACTTACACAGAACATCAAGGCAGACACTGAGCTCACAAACATGAGCCCTCACATTTTTTTCTGGTTGTTTAGTAGTGTTGGGAAAGTGAAATGTTGAAGCAAACAAAGTTGTGTGCTGGAAGAGGCTGTTTAACCCTTCCACTTGACAATTCTTTTCTCGATTGCAATACCATAGCACCCAGCATATTTATCACCCAGCATCTCAGGTTACAAAGCAACCCTAGATTTCTTGCAGAATGCCTGGTGGTAGAAATCTCTTCATGTTGCCGTACCAAATTCAGAATAGGAAACAAACTGCAGGATCATGGCGGGGTGGGAATTTTTTGTTAGCCCCAGGCACCCCGTGGTCCCCATCTGGAATGGGGTCTGAAAGACGCAGGAAATGTGTGGATCCAGAGAGAGCAAGGCGTAAGCAACCACAATGTACAATATTGCATAATATTGTTGCTGATCTCGGAGCACACATGTTAAGGCATCAGCCTTGGTTTCCAACTTCCTGGCTTTGTGGCACATGAACCAACATGAATAGCTTTAACTCTTCGCAGACTAGAAGGCTTTTTATCACTGAATTATTATATCAGCTCTAATGTTTACTATGCCTCTAATGTAGCTAAGCAACCTATGAATACAAGCATTTCAACTCAAGTCTTGACACCATACACAAAATAGTACCTCTGAATGCTTGTTGCTCTTTGCAATCTCTCCTGCTGTCAGTCCATCTTTGGTCTGTATTGATTTATCAGCTCCCAATTCGAGCAACTTGAAGACTACTTTTTTATGACCTTGGCGTGCTGCCCACGTTAATGCCTGTAACAAGGCATTAAGTTGTTTTTATTAGGTAGTATGGACTTTAAAACTGGATAAGGAAAGCAATTGCAACTTAAATTACCACTGAATCAATGTCTCATTCGGTTGAATCCTGCCTGCTATTCAAGCTTAACATACTGCTTTGTTTGTTTGTTCTCTTCTACTCTTCCAAACAAATAAGTGAAAGCTCTGTGGCTTGCATCTAGAGTTGTCCTGTGCAAGTTCTTAGTCAAACATGACTGATTCCCCCTTCCAGCTACAGTCCCTTGTACCACACCTCAAGCTATTCCGGAGGGTCTTCAATCCTTGAAATGGGATGGATTTTCAGGAGCCATAGGAAACTGGCAGGAAAAGAGATGAGAAAATCCAACTCCATGAGCAGAGCTGCGATTGCAAAAGTTAACATTCACACCAGTATGTGTTCTTCCTTACATGGAATTCAGCTAGATTAGCTGAATTTTACTATACTGTTCTTCAGCTAGATTATATAATTCACCCCAATCCAGCATCAGCATCTGCATAATGAAACTGTTTTAATTCCTGAAATCAATAGACTGAAGTGTCAGCATGGAGTTGCCAGGGTCCAATAAAAAAAACACACCTTATTACTTCAGAAAAGGCAACAAAGTAAGAAAATCTATTTATATGTGGTTTATGTTATATGTGTATATCCCTTCTTTGGCTACACGTGAACTCTTCATAACTGAGAAAAAACTTAAATGTATGTGTAATCTGATTGTGTCAGGGGTACCCCCTCATTTTAGTAAAGTATTTTTCCTTCTCCTCCTCCAAAAACAAATGGAGAACAAGGGGGGTGAAAGAAAATCTGTGAATGACGCAAGATTAAGCACATTTCAGAAATAATTAAAGCCCATCTTATTGTTTAGAATAAAGCTCACTTACTGTGTAACCACGTTCATCCTGGGCATTTATTTCTGATCCATGAGCAGCAAGAAGAGTTACAACTTGAGGATGACCTTCACGGGCTGCATACATTAATGGAGTCATTTTCTTCCTAAGCAAAAATCCATTAAATATCCATTAAAGCAGCTATTGTGTTCTTAATCCAAACACTATTTATTCTGTTAATATTTCATATAATGTTTCTCATGTGCAAAAGCCTTAGTAAAACTTATTCAGTAATACAGTGGTACCTCGGGTTACATACGCTTCAGTTACATACGCTTCCAGGTTAACAACTCCGCTAACCCAGAAATATTACCTCAGGTTAAGAACTTTGCTTCAGGATGACAACAGAAATCGTGCTGTGGGTGTTGGCAGCAGCAGGAGGCCCCATTAGCTAAAGTGGTGCTTCAGGTTAAGAACAGTTTCAGGTTAAGAACGGACCTCCGGAACAAATTAAGTACTTAACCCGAGGTACCACTGTAAATAGTGAACCACCAACACATTAGGCCTTGAAACAACAAATCATGGAAACAATGCTGAAAGCACAACTAAAGAAACAAACTTTGCTTGTTGCATTTCACTGGAGACTCTTGGCTTTGCAGAGGACAAAAGGTTAAAATTTGGAATGCCTTAACACATGCTAAAGTATACACCGGTGGTTGGCATAGCTGTCCTGCTTGAAGAAAACCCTATGGGTAATTCCATAGTGACCAATGTAACATTTGTAAGCTTCTTTACCTAATATTTTGTGTTTCAGTTTATATTAGTTGTAAGTCCAATTAACATTAAAATATGTGTGTGTTGATCTCCCCCTACAAATATAATCAAGAAATATACAAATGGTAGTTTAAATGTTCCCCTTCATGGATCACTGCCTTGCCGTGGCGAAGGGGCTTGAAGAACTCAGAGAAGCTATGAACTACGCCGAGCAGGGCACACAAGATGAACAAGTCATAGTGGAGAGTTTTGACCAAACGTGATCCACCTGGAGGAGGAACCGGCAAGCCACTCCAGTATCCTGCCAAGAAAACTCCATGGACAAAGACAACAGGCATATAAAAGTTATGACGCTGGAAGATGAGCCCCTCAGGTCGGAAGGCGTCCAACATGCTACTGGGGAAGAGCGGAGGGGCAAGTACAAGTAGATCCAGAGCTGATGAAGCGGCTGGGCCAAAGCCGAAAGGACGCTCAGTTGCGGATATGCCTGGAAGCGAAAGGAAAGTCCAATGCTGTAAAGAAAAATATTGCATAGGAACCTGGAATGTAAGAACCATGAACCTGGGTAAGTTGGAGGTGGTCAAAAATGAGATGGCAAGAATAAATATTGACATCCTGGGCATCAGTGAACTAAAATGGACGGGAATGGGCGAATTCAGTTCGGATGACCATCACATCTACTACTGTGGGCAAGAAACCCGTAAAAGAAATGGAGTGGCCCTCATAGTCAACAAAAGAGTGGCGAAAGCTGTACTGGGATGCAATCTCAAAAATGATAGAATGATCTCGATACGAATCCAAGGCAGACCTTTTAACATCACAGTAATCCAAGTTTATGCACCAACTACTGGTGCTGAAGAAACTGAAATTGACCAATTCTATGAAGACTTACAAGACCTTATAGAAGTGACACCAAAGAAGGATGTTCTTCTCATTATAGGGGATTGGAATGCTAAAGTAGGGATCAAGAGATAAAAGGAACAACTGGCAAGTTTGGCCTTGGAGTTCAAAACGAAGCAGGGCAAAGGCTAATAGAGTTCTGTCAAGAGAACAAGCTGGTCATCACAAACACTTTTCCAACAACACAAGAGACGACTCTACACATGGACATCACCAGATGGGCAGCATCGAAATCAGATTGATTATATTCTCTGCAGCCAAAGATGGAGAAGCTCTATACAGTCAGCAAAAACAAGACCTGGAGCTGACTGTGGCTCAGATCATCAGCTTCTTATAGCAAAATTCAAGCTTAAACTGAAGAAAGTAGGAAAAACCACTGGGCCGGTAAGATACAATCTAAGTCAAATCCCTTATGAATACACAGTGGAAGTGAGGAACAGGTTTAAGGATTTAGATTTGGTGGACAGAGTGCCTGAAGAACTATGGATGGAGGCTCGTAACATTATACAGGAGGCAGCAACGAAAACCATCCCAATGAAAAGGAAATGCAAGAAAGCAAAGTGGCTGTCCAACGAGGCCTTACAAATAGCGGGGGAGAGAAGGCAAGCAAAATGCGAGGGAGATAGTGAAAGATACAGGAAATTGAATGCAGATTTCCAAAAAATAGCAAGGAGAGACAAGAAGGCCTTCTTAAACGAGCAATGCAAACAAATAGAGGAAAACAACAGAATGGGAAGAACCAGAGATCTGTTCAAGAAAATTGGAGATATGAAAGGAACATTTCGTACAAAGATTACCATAATAAAGGACAAAAGTGGTAAGGACCTAACAGAAGCAGAAGACATCAAGAAGAGGTGGCAAGAATACACAGAGGAATTATACCAGAAAGATATGGATGTCTCGTACACCCCAGGTAGTGTGGTTGCTGACCTTGAGCCAGACATCCTGGAAAGTGAAGTCAAATGGGCCTTAGAAAGCACTGCAAATAACAAGGCCAGTGGAAGTGATGGTATTCCAGCTGAACTATTTAAAATTTTAAAAGATGATGCTGTTAAGGTGCTACACTCAATATGCCAGCAAATTTGGAAAACTCAGCAGTGGCCAGAAGATTGGAGAAGATCAGTCTACATCCCAATCCCAAAGAAGGGCAGTGCCAAAGAATGCTCCAACTACCGCACAATTGCACTCATTTCACACGCTAGCAAGGTTATGCTTAAAATTCTACAAGGAAGGCTCAAGCAGTATGTGGATCGAGAACTCCCAGAAGTGCAAGCTGGATTTAGAAGAGGCAGAGGAACCAGAGACCAAATTGCAAACATGCGCTGGATTATGGAGAAAGCTACAGTTAGAACTGGATATGGAACAACTGATTGGTTCAAAATTGGGAAAGGAGTACGACAAGGCTGCATTTTGTCTCCCTGCTTATTTAATTTGTATGCAGAATACATCATGCGAAAGGCTGGGCTGGATGAATCCCAAGCTGGAATTAAGATTGCCGGAAGAAATATCAACAACCTCAGATATGCAGATGACACAACCTTGATGGCAGAAAGTGAGGAGGAATTAAAGAACCTTTAATGAGGGTGAAAGAGAGAGAGCGCAAAATATGGTCTGAAGCTCAACATCAAAAAAACGAAGATCATGGCCACTGGTCCCATCACCTCCTGGCAAATAGAAGGGAAGAAATGGAGGCAGTGAGAGATTTTACTTTCTTGGGCTCCATGATCACTGCAGATGGTGACAGCAGCCACGAAATTAAAAGACGCCTGCTTCTTGGAGGAAGCAATGACAACCTAGACAGCATCTTGAAGGTAGAGACATCACCTTGCCAACAAAGGTCCGTATAAGTTAAAAGCTATGGTTTTCCCAGTAGTGATGTATGGAAGTGAGAGCTGGACCATAAAGAAGGCTGATCGCCAAAGAATTGATGCTTTTGAATTATGGTGCTGGAGGAGACTCTTGAGAGTCCCATGGACTGCAAGAAGATCAAACGCATCCATTCTTAAGGAAATTAGCCCTGAGTGCTCACTGGAAGGACAGATCGTGAAGCTGAGGCTCCAATACTTTGGCCACCTCATGAGAAGAAGACTCCCTGAAAAGACCCTGATGTTGGGAAAGATGGAGGGCACAAGGAGAAGGGGACGACAGAGGACGAGATGGTTGGATAGTGTTTTCGAAGCTACAAGCATGAGTTCGACCAAACTGCGGGGCAGTGGAAGCCGAAGTGCCTGGCGTGCTCCGGTGCATGGGGTCACGAAGAGTCGGACATGACTAAACGACTAAACAACAACAATAAATCAACTATAACAGCAGCAACATACTGCTGGTTGGGGGGGGGCGACCTCTGGAGATATCTGCATGAGGGAATTGGCAGGAATTGTTAGGCATCCCCTTTCTCTCACCACTGGCTCCTTTTGCAATTACTGCCCTTTTCATTCACAGTGTCTTGGCAACCACAGGTTTGGTAACTTTGGTAATGTGTTGTTCAGTCCTTCTAGGATGAAATTAAAATGTAATTTTAGGTTGGCGGGGGGAATGCAAGCTGAGTTGCAGCCCACGTATGTTAATAAGAAAAGGTTAATGACTTCACAAGAGGCTTGGCCTGTGCATGCTTGACAAGAGGAAACCTTTTAAATGAAAGCCTGCATAATGTCCACCTTCCTGGTCTTTGAAATAATAAAAATTTGAAGCCTTCCAACTAATATATTTATGTAATCAGGCTGATCGTTGGCTCTCAGCGTGCTGCCAGTGAAGCGCTTGCCAACATAATTAACACTGGCCATATGGATTTTATTCCAGGGAAGTAAACAGAAACTAGACCTGAGAACATTTTTTCATTCATTGTATCTGGGCACTGAATTACTAGTCATTGGGGGGGGGGAGACAAAGGAAGCCATCCTTCCCTAAATAGGAGAGCACTTGGTTAATGATGGTAGAAAGCTTGATGTATATGGAAAAATACAGGGATTAAGGAAGAAATTGTTGCTGTTTGAAATAGTTCACATCTAGGCAAACATGCCATTTGAATGAATAAGAGCATGTCATTCAGAGGAATCGAGAGATGCGGCTGAGGTGCTAGACGGGTTTAGGGGCAATGATGGGCTGGATGTGAACCAGCAAACTGAAGTGGAATCCTGAAGACAGGTGTTATGTGTTTCAAGTTATCAAGTCCACAAGGTGGGAAGACAGCCTGCTCTATTTGGGGTTGCAGTCCCTTGGAGGCAGCAGTTCATTGCTTGGGGGTACCCCTAGATCCAATGCTGTTATTTGTGGTCCAGGTGGCCTCAGTGGCTAGGAGTGTCTACATCCAACTGTGGCTAGTTTGCCAGCTGCAGCCTCTTTTGGAC